CTGAACAGATTACAAAATCTTTAGAAAATGATTCTGACAAAAATGTGTACTTACAGTCCCCACTCTCGCTTGTCCTCAACTTGTTGAAAGTTGTCGCTGTGCTGTGTGGCTTCTGTGTGGTCGCGAGAAGAGAAAATGGCGTGAATAGCTTGCTCAAAGTCTTTTGTCACCCTAGCACTTGTGCAGTAACATTGTCACAGAAGAAATGGTGGTTAAAATATAGAATTCAAATTGTTATAATATCTGACAACTTGACAAGCTACATTTGTGGGGGAAAATATAATATTTTATGAATATGTTGTTGTGGATATTTCAATGAAGACACCATAATTTATTCAATATAGTCTATGCAATATATGATTATTTTCATGAATCTCATGTTTTCAATGAGTACAGCAAGCTAGCGGTCAGGCTGATTTATGGGTGAAATAGTGGCCACGACGGATGGACCTGATATGCCCATAATTCGATGTCCATGGACATCACATGCTGAGTCGGGTACTCAGTGGTTTGAGTGATAAGGCGAAAGCAAACCGACTGTAGACGAAAGTTGAAGGAGTGCAGTCGGGGGAGGTGCATATGTGACAGCTGAAAGTCGGACACTAGCTAGGTTTCCATCCAATTTGCGACAGATTTTCATGCGAATATTCTAAAATCTGCATAAAAGAATATGCGTATTTTCCCACCAGAGATGCGTTTCCATCAAACTGACTCATTGCGGATAAAAGACTGTGCGTGATGACGTAGTGCACATAAAAATAACTTTTGCGGTTAAATTCCCAGGAAAGTACAAGTTAAATGGGTTTCCGTCGCATTTTCAACTCTACTGATGGACTTGTCACAAAAACTGTTGATTTATATAACAAACATGCCCACTCTGGTCTTGGCACATGGGCTCTAGCCAACAGCTACATGTAACTGGTTTAAAAATTACTTGACAGATAGAACTCAATGTGTATCTACTGATGGTGTTAAATCAGGTTTCCTGGATATTACGAAAGGTGTCCGGCAGGGGTCAATTCTGGGTCCTGTACTTTTACTGTTTACATTAACAATATCGACTTGTCTGTAAAAAATTGTCACCTGCACTTGTATGCCGATGATACATACTGTTGTGTATGCTATTGGTCCCACGGTTGACCAGGCTCTAGCTGAACTACAGTCTGCTTTCATTGTATCACAGAAAAACTGTATTGGCCTGAAGTTAGTATTGAATGCAGGTAAAACTAAGTATATGTTGTTCTCTAGAGCTCATAAAAAGAACTCTGATGATTTAAGCAAAAAAACATCAGGGACAGACTGATATTCTGCAAAAGGTACAGGGATTGTCTGCTGAGGACTGGGGTAAAGTCATTTTCTCTGATGAATCCCCTTTCCGATTGTTTGGGGCATCCGGAAAAAAGCTTGTCCAGAGAAGACAAGGTGAGCTCTACCATCAGTCCTGTGTCATGCCAACAGTAAAGCATCCTGAGACCATTAATGTGTGGGGTTGCTTCTCAGCCAAGGGAGTGGGCTCACTCACAATTTTGCCTAAGAACACAGCCATGAATAAAGAATGGTACCAACACATCCTCCGAGAGCAACTTCTCCCAACCATCCAAGAACAGTCTGGTGACGAACAATGCCTTTTCCAGCATGATGGACACCTTGCTATAAGGCAAAAGTGATAACTAAGTGGTTCGGGGAACAAAACATTGACATTTTAGGTCCATGGCCAGGAAACTCTCCAGACCTTAATCCAATTGAAAACTTGTGGTCAATCCTCAAGAGGCAGGTGGACAACAAAAACCCACAAATTCTAACAAACTCCAAGCATTGATTATGCAAGAATGGGCTGCCATCAGTCAGGATGTGGCCCAGAAGTTAATTGACAGCATGCCAGGGCGGATTGCAGAGGTCTTGAAAAAGAAGGGTCAACACTGCAAATATTGACTCTTTGCATAAACGTAATGTAATTGACAATAAAAGCCTTTGACACTTATGGAATGCTTGTAATTATACTTCAGTATACCATAGTAACATCTGACAAAAATATCTAAAAACACTGAAGCAGCAAACTTTGTGAAGACCAATACGTGTGTCATTCTCAAAACCTACCATCTTTACTAAACTTTAGACATGTGAGTTACCACACCCGGGCTCAGGGATGGTTAACTCTGGAAATTCCTTTGGTCTCACTCTCTACTGAATTAGGTAAATCAGCTTTTAGTTTTCTTGCACCTTATTTGTGGAACAATCTTCAAAATGTTCTTAAATGTTATGTTTTGGTGCCTCTAGGGCAATTCAGAAAGCTGATTGAGGACCTTATTATAGATGAATGTGTTTGTTTTTATGACTGTGTTTTTCTTCCTGCTTGCATTTTGTATTTATATTGATGTGTGTATTTTCTGTAGCCTCATTTATGTTATTCAGGGCTCATCTGTAAAAAAGAACTTGGTCTCAGTATGACTCCCTGATAAAACAAAGGTAAAAAAAAAAGTTTAATAAAAACAACTTGCAGATACAGGCTACCTGCATTATGAGATTATTATGGATTAGAGCAATATTATTTTTATTTGTCAACCGGCAGCCAAGCATCGATCATCATGTCACCAGAATAAGATATTTATTAGAAAGGAGCATTTACATTTTACATTTTAGTCATTTAGCAGACGCTCTTATCCAGAGCGACTTACAGTTAGTGAATCCTTTTTTTTTTATACTGGCCCCCCGTGGGAATCGAACCCACAACCCTCCCGAGTCTCCCGAGTGGCGCAGTGGTCTAAGGCACTGCATCGCAGTGCTAGCTGTGCCACTAGAGATCCTGGTTCGAATCCAGGCTCTGTCGTAGCCGGCCGCGACCGGGAGACCCATGGGGCGGCGTGCAATTGGCCCAGCGTCGTCCAGGGTAGGGGAGGGAATGGCCGGCAGGGATGTAGCTCAGTTGATAGAGCATGGCGTTTGCAACGCCAGGGTTGTGGGTTCGATTCCCACAGGGGGTATGAAAAAATATATAATGTATGCACTAACTGTAAGTCACTCTGGATAAGAGCGTCTGCTAAATGACTAAAAATGTAAATGTAAAAACCCTGGCGTTGCAAACGCCATGCTCTATCAACTGAGCTACATCCCTGCCGGCCATTCCCTCCCCTACCCTGGACGACGCTGGGCCAATTGTGCGCCGCCCATGAGCATCAAGATCATCATGTGCACTTTCACCACCATGTGAAGTTCATCATAATTTATTTCATCTGTAGCCTAATAAACTGCATCGTTTCACGAATCGTAATAGGAGAACCACACAACATATTTGTATTTATTATGTATCCCCATTAGCTGCTGCCAAGGCAGCAACTACTCTTTCTGGGGTCCAGCAAAAATTAAGGCAGTAATATACATTATAATAATAAAAAGCAACATTAAAATACATTTTACAACAGATTTCACAATACATTAAGTGTGTGCCCTCAGGCCACTACTCTACTACAACACACAATCCAGGTGTACCTGTGTATAGTGTGTATGTTATGTGTGTTTGTATGCGTGGGTTTGTTCCTGTGTGTGTGACTCTTCACAGTCCTCGCTGTTCCATAAGGTGTATTTTTTATTTTTTATTTTACTGCTTGCCTGAGTTACTTGATGTGGAATAGAGTTGCTCAATTTCCACATTATTAATTACAAGATTTAGTTGAGCTTTTGAGGTTTAGGGCTTAGTGAATGATTTGTCCCAAATACAATGCTTTTAGTTTTTGAAATATTTGGGAATAACATTTCTTGCCACCCATTCTGAAACTGACTGCAGCTCTTTGTTAAGCGTTGCAGTGATTCATTGCGTGATTCCAAGTTTACTTTGATATGATGGTTATTATATCAATATTTGCGCATAAAGGCGTTTCCACCGCCATTTCTCGCATAATTAATGTTACAGACACAAAAAGATCCCACCATGTCGAACGAACAAATTGTCTGTCGGCATTTATAAAATTGTACCTGCATATCTTGTTTCCATCAGCCAGGTCATTACTTTTTTCATGAGTCAAGTAATTCATCCGCATGAAATGGTTGGATGGAAACTTGGTTACTGATATGGTTTTTCAAAGTAAGGCTTGTGTTGCCATTGTTAATAAAAGTGTATCTTTATAATGTAGCCTACAAATAAACATGTCTCCAACCCCCATAGCACACACTCACAAACTGAAAACGTGTACATTGTACAATCAATTATCTCAAATATCACATTCATTTACACATATCCACTGTAGGCCTATACATGAATTGCTGCAAAGTTGGTTCCTGTTTCAGTCACGTCTTTGGTCACGTTCGCGTGCGTCAAACAAAATCACCCACACGATTGGTTGACAATAGAGCCTCCCACAATTCAGGCGATAGCTGCAGAATGAATATTGCGAGCAACCGCTAAAACTTGTGCCGCGTTCAAAACAACTGGGAATTCGGAAATTTCCGACTTCCGAGCGTTCTGACAACTGGGAACTCGGAAGAAAACGAGCTCCGACTGGGAAGAATCGTTTTGAACGGTCATCCAACTCGCAATTCCAACTCGGGTACTCTGGCCTCTTTCTAGAGCAACGTCATGATTTGACTTCGTATTTTTCAGAGTTCCCAGTTGTTTTGAACGCACCATTACAGTCGCCTGCAGTCAAAACGGCATGACCTTTGATCACATGATTTATGTAAAGTTCATGCAGTCGACGCAAATCGGACAATTTTTGTCCACATAATTCAACACATTTTCAAAGCCCCACAAAAGTGATCTGCTCGAACGCGTCCAACAGCTGAGCAGTCTGGCCGTGACTAGTTATCACAGCTACAAAGTCATAATCATGGCTAAACCCCACTTGTTTCTACAATCTGACATTACCCGAACTGCTAACCTTGTGCCTAACCCTAAATTAAGACAAAATAGCGAATTTTAGTTTTCATGATTTTTTTTTACGATAGCCAATTCTGACTTTGTGGCTGTGGTAACTAGTGACAACCGAGAAGTCTGGGTGGGGATGATGATGGCGGAGTTGGTGCAGGGACAGGCCTCCGTTGCTCAGTCCGGAATGAAAGCTGACGGCTTCGCCGACGCTTTACATCGGTCTCGACAGGTAATAAGAGTAGAGGAACTCGCAAAGGAATCGACTGAGTTTGGACTAGGCCTTTTAAACGACGATAAAGTACATATTTTAACCCGCCCATCTCTGCAGCTTGTGCTATGCGCTCATGAAAAACACTAGCCAGCATTCTATGATAGTTGACAACCACAATAGTTTCGAGTTCGCTATGCGTACTCGTACTTGTTCATTTTGGCTGCAACAGGTCACGACTGGAAACTATGTTTTTATGTAGTTTACCGTGTTGTTACCACGAAGTCTTCAAGTTAATTTATGTTAAGCTAGCTACAGTAGCTACCTACGTTTTCCACACGTGTCCATATGCAATTTGTTGTTCAGTCACTGAAGTTCTGTGGTTGAACTGTGTGGCCTTGCTCTCAAACCCATAACAATCAGTGACAAGTAGGCAAAGATTCCAAACCCACCCGTTTTTAAACAGATCGTTATCCATCTTGTTTCCCAGTTGTGAACATCATTGAGCTAATTGCCCCCCCCATAAAAGTTTGCAAGTAGGCTCCATTATGTAACTGGCAAGCACCATATTATGCGCTGTGGGGTGTGTCTAGTTAGGAAACCCGATTAAGGAGCAGGTAAGGGTAGATTCATTTGTCACTAGTATTAGGGTGTTAGACTCCAGACCTAAATTGAACCAGGTTGTCTCAGTCGCGAACCAATATTCGCATCGCCAAAATACAATATGGAAAACTATTTGTCATGCTATATTTATAGTAAATGTACCAATTATATGACAAAGGAACAACATTCCCACCTCTTTCACTGTCAGTAATTACATTTTGCCCATATTCTTGAGGAATGTTAATAAACGCACTGGTTTGAGACCAAAATCAACCAAAAATAGCTCTATATTGAAAATACTGTGATTGAACAAAAATTCTTCAGAGATTAAATGATACAAAAATGTAAGTTCATTATAATTTCTACACACTTTCAATATGGTTTAAAAAGTTTAACTTCAGACTGGAGTATTTTTTTCATAAAAAAAGAAGATATATTTCTTACTCAGACACCAGCAACCCATTCAAAACATTGTTTTAGAGGACAAAATGAAACTGTGGTTCTGGTGTTATACTTTGTATTCCATGTTATAGAGAAGCTTCCCAGGAACACAGGATTGGATTTATTTTCAATTAATCGGAAAAGGTCAAAATAGGTCGCGGACAGGTCAGTGTTAATCCCTAGTCAATAAAGCACCAAATCATTCTTAAATTCAACACTTTTTGTCCAATAACTCAAGATATCTCAAGATAGGGTGGTCATATTGTTATGAAATTGCTGTAGAACACAGAGATGATTCCTCCCCAAAAAGCGATTCAAATGCTATATTATGCAAAAGAGGCACTTAAGATAGGGTGCCTGCTAATTAGGCAGTACGGAATACATCATTTCAGTAATTAAAGGCCAATAATTTAAAGTAGGGTGGTCATATTAACAAATCTTCGTGCTCTATGCAAAACTGAGAGTTTGTAACAATTTGAAACAATTTATGAAATTAGAATACAACTTTGTATACTACTTTATGCAAATTAGATACATATTATGCTAATTAGTCTGTACGGAATGAAATTAAATCTTGCCGTTTTATGCAGAACTGGGAGTTTACACTGAGGAGTAAGGTGCAGCCCATGCGCGCGCACACACACACCAGGGGTGGTAACGGAGTACATATAATTGAGATTACATAATCATGAACAAAAAACAGGGTTACTATTTACCAATTAGTAACTGTTAGGCTGTATATATATCACAGTTATGTTTGTTGTATTCAGTAGGCCAACTGATTAGGCCTAGAGTGCCAAATAATACGCCCAACCCTGTGCCTGTGCCACCTACACGCACACACACATATAGTCTAACACACACACACTTCTCAGCATCCCCACACACTCTCACTGCACCCACCAACACAAACACCACATCACACATAGTCTGTGTTAGGCTAGTACAGACACACTTCTCACTAAGTCTGAACTGTAACACAGAAGGCTACTAGTCTAATAACATAGCTTAGTTACAAGGAAGGCCTACACTTGAGTTGGGTTACAAAATGTTATTTTTGGTGTTGATGCGTTACGCTGGTGATGGGAGGATAAACTCCACTGTTTCCAGCAAATAATTAGCCTCGCAGTTGGTGAGCTGCCTGCGAGCCAGCTGCACAGAAAGATAGTTAGGACACATTTTCAATACACTGGTATTTAGCTATGTTTTTATCGATTGTGGGGCTGTAGCCACTGAGTTATTGTAGTTTTTACTTGAAATAATAAAACCATCAATCACAAAAATCGCTGTTGGCACAATACAGCCACAATGGCACAATACAGCCTCTCGCCCGGCTCATTGCCTCAGTGAACAGTGTCAGGCTCTCCCACACAGCTAGCAAGCTAGCACTCGTCATGGAAATGGGGGTGGCGAATGGTGAATTTGGACCAATCCCTGACAACCCATACATGAAAACGTAGCTACGAAGCTCTACTTTGTAACCTGCTATGTTTTTTCCATGTCTCTGAGAACATCTGAATGACCGAAACGAAGGAAACACGTTTTACCTTATACACTGCTCAAAAAAATTAAGGGAACACTAAAATAACATATCCTAGATCTGAATGAATGAAATAATCTTATTAAATACTTTTTTCTTTACATAGTTGAATGTGCTGACAACAAAATCACACAAAAATTATCAATGGAAATCAAATGTATCAACCCATGGAGGTCTGGATTTGGAGTCACACTCAAAATTAAAGTGGAAAACCACACTACAGGCTGATCCAACTTTGATGTAATGTCCTTAAAACAAGTCAAAATGAGGCTCAGTAGTGTGTGTGGCCTCCACGTGCCTGTATGACCTCCCTACAACGCCTGGGCATGCTCCTGATGAGGTGGCGGATAGTCTCCTGAGGGATCTCCTCCCAGACCTGGACTAAAGCATCCGCCAACTCCTGAACAGTCTGTGGTGCAACGTGGCGTTGGTGGATGGAGCGAGACATGATGTCCCAGATGTGCTCAATTGGATTCAGGTCTGGGGAACGGGCGGACCAGTCCATAGCATCAATGCCTTCCTCTTGCAGGAACTGCTGACACACTCCAGCCACATGAGGTCTAGCATTGTCTTGCATTAGGAGGAACCCAGGGCCAACCGCACCAGCATATGGTCTCACAAGGGGTCTGAGGATCTCATCTCGGTACCTAATGGCAGTCAGGCTACCTCTGGCGAGCACATGGAGGGCTGTGTGGCCCCCCAAAGAAATGCCACCCCACACCATGACTGACCCACCGCCAAACTGGTCATGCTGGAGGATGTTGCAGGCAGCAGAACGTTCTCCACGGCGTCTCCAGACTCTGTCACGTCTGTCACATGTGCTCAGTGTGAACCTGCTTTCATCTGTGAAGAGCACAAGGCGCCAGTGGCGAATTTGCCAATCTTGGTGTTCTCTGGCAAATGCCAAACGTCCTGCACGGTGTTGGGCTGTAAGCACAACCCCCACCTGTGGACGTCGGGCCCTCATACCACCCTCATGGAGTCTGTTTCTGACTGTTTGAGCAGACACATGCACATTTGTGGCCTGCTGGAGGTCATTTTGCAGGGCTCTGGCAGTGCTCCTCCTGCTCCTCCTTGCACAAAGGCGGAGGTAGCGGTCCTGCTGCTGGGTTGTTGCCCTCCTACGGCCTCCTCCACGTCTCCTGATGTACTGGCCTGTCTCCTGGTAGCGCCTCCATGCTCTGGACACTACGCTGACAGACACAGCAAACCTTCTTGCCACAGCTCGCATTGATGTGCCATCCTGGATGAGCTGGGTTGTAGACTCCGTCTCATGCTACCACTAGAGTGAAAGCACCGCCAGCATTCAAAAGTGACCAAAACATCAGCCAGGAAGCATAGGAACTGAGAAGTGGTCTGTGGTCACCACCTGCAGAACCACTCCTTTATTGGGGGTGTCTTGCTAATTGCCTATAATTTCCACCTGTTGTCTATTCCATTTGCACAACAGCATGTGAAATGTATTGTCAATCAGTGTTGCTTCCTAAGTGGACAGTTTGATTTCACAGAAGTGTGATTGACTTGGAGTTACATTGTGTTGTTTAAGTGTTCCCTTTATTTTTTTGAGCAGTGTATTTCAGTCCAAGGACGTCTGATGACCGTAAAACACCCTCAGGACTTTCCAATACTTGTTGGCAATACAATGTCACATGGATTTTAGAATACCATACGCAAAGAGCAAATATGAACACACCGATTTCACAGGTTTCAGAAAAAGGTCTGTCCCACAGAATTGAACGTTCTAAGCATGGCACTTGCTTTAAATTTGGGCTCATATCGCATAAATATCATAACGTACAGTATTGGGATTTTTAGACATGGTTAACAACTTCCACATTCATGTTTTCAAATGACTTATGTATTTTGACGACAACATTATTGACATTTAGTGAAAATTGATTTGATTACTGCAGTTTTTTTTGTAGAATTCTCGCATAGCATCCATTGTTTGTCTCGTCACCTAACACCCTAGAACTATGTTATGTTTTTTTACTAGATAATATAGCTAATATGCCTATTATTTGTGCTACATAGAGGTTTGGGGTAAACTTAGATATTACAATGCTCCCTCTCATTCAAAATATACGTGGTTTGATTGATTGACCCCTCTATTACATTGTTTGACAGAATGCTCATCAACTAGCTCTTTGGCCCCAAAACTCATGGAGAGAGGTGATAACAATTTGGTCTCTGAAAGATTCAAAATCATCTCAAGTATCGACAATACGTTGTTTGGAAGGGGAATGGTAGAACTGCATGACTCCATTGGCTACTCAAAGCTTGGATGATACATGATTAAATCCTTTACACTTACAACGTCCCCATGGCTTTTAAAGCTTTTGAGGGTGAATAAGAGCAATAGAAAACAATTCTATACAGTGTTGCACAGTTTTTTTGTGTTTTTTTTACTTTGTTGTCATTTGATTTCTCAAGGTTAGGCTATTTGGTTTAGACATTTCAGTTGCCGATGAGTCAACCTTGTTGTGTTGTTCAGCAGATAAAAGCCCTAGCTCTCATGGTTACAAGTGCTTTTGACCAACAGATATTGCATTTGCCTGACATGTGGTCATATAGCCTGATAATGAACTAAAGGATCCTTACATTACTCCTTATAGTCCAAGGACCTTACATGTTCTGTTTAGAGGCTAATTGGCTCTGGCAGTCAGACAAATACTCCATCTAAACATGAAATGTTTTAACCGGTTTTAACACGGTTGCAGCCGACAGTATTTTTCAGCGACAAGACATTTGTGTCGTCAGTCTTCCCTTTACACACAGGTGTTCTTGAGACGCAGATGGCTAATTAGCACATGTACGCCTCTATTTTCTGTCTGTTTTCCATAAACAAGCACTGTAACATGGACATGTGGTTGTGTGGGAGCCCTAATGAACGATACGTTCCTTATTTTTCCAAAACCGTACTGCAAGCAATGTGTTTTAAAGTTCAGAACGATAATCGGGGCTCTTATCAATGCTTCCCCGGCCAGAAGATACTATCGTCAATAGGCGCTAAAGGTAGGGTATGAATGGGTTAGTGGTCATAGCGCTGGCAATTTTGAAAAATGTAGTGTTGTAATAAGCTATTTTTTGGTGAAATGTTTCTCACATTGTAACAACAATGTATAGAAAATCTCTGAAGTAATTATTAGTATTTTCCTCACATTTCAGATGGCAGGAACAATGGGGAATGAGCAGATTCCTCACCTAAACAATTCCCCCCCTATTGTAGACCCCTCCATGTATGGCTACGGGGGCCAGAAGAGATCGGTGGAAGACGGAGGTAAGCCAGTTGCTGTTAGCCATTTAATTATTCTCTTGCCGGCGATTACAGGGATAGTTACCTGAGGTTTTCACAATGTCTTAACCTTTCTACCTTGAAACGAGTCCATGAACGATTATGTATCAAAATACAACACTGCCCCTTGCTCCTGGAGGATGGTTGGCCACCCTTGGTAGCCTATAAAATATAGCAACATTACAATTAGGCCGCTTAAGGGCGTCCTGTCGTCTCTTGGACGATAAAAAATATGTCTACCGTTCAAAATAGACTGGGACAGTTCTGGGACGACAGATCCAAAATTCAGACAACCAATTAAAACATTTAAAAAAGCAATGAGGCTGATGCAACAGATCAGACAGTTTAGCTTAAAATGTTGATACAGTTTTATTTCTTCATATTATAAACTCAAAAATGCACACATGGCTGTAGGCTATTATAGGCCTACGCGCGAATGTTCCAAAATGCAATTAGCGGGAAAACACCATTCTCAACAGTACACTGCACAGGCAAGGGCTTTCATGTGACAGAGATGAAAATCACCATTAGAAACTTAGAAAGAAGGGGAATCTAATAGCAACAACTTGGATGGGTTACTAATAAGGCTAGGAGTATGCATTTGGCTGCTGGACAATAAAATAGCTTTGATCTGAAAACCAATAGAACATGAGAAAAATGCTGGTTTCAATGGCATATTAAGTGTTTATAAGATAATTCCCTCAAAATGTCTATGGCCGTATGTTGGCTAGGCTACTTTGAAACAAGGTAAGACATACTTCATAAAATGTCCAGGTTTTGAACAATTAAGTTTATGGTTAAATACTTTCAAAATGCTGACCACCTCCGCTCAAATTCAAGGTGGGTGACATGGTGACGTGCGGTGCGCAACAGGCACTGTCCTTCACTCTCCGGTCTTGTGACCATTAGATCTGAATGAACCGTGCCTCGAGTATGTCGATAGAATCAAGCCTTTAGGCGTTAATGTTAATTAGCCTATCCTTCATTATATTTGTCAAACATGACTGGCGTTTCGCCTATAATTATGTAATTACAAGTCTCATTAAATGTTGGCTACATTGTCTGGTGCCTCCCACATGTCAGCATCGATTTGGACATGAAGCTGTAGCCACTTTGACATGTAGGATTTTTTATTTATGTACATGAAAAATAGATTTGAATATTATTCCATTGTTGGCCTCTCTGATCCAATTCTGATGGGAGTAATTGTTTGATATTGCGATTCTTGTGTGATAAAAAATAAATAATAATACTTGTCCATTCAGACAACTTAAATCTATATTCTTCTTGTCCAACTTTTTTTTTTTTTTTACTTGTCCCAGACAAGAGGATAAGCGTTAATGTCGAGCCCTGCCAAGTATTCATAGGCCTACTCGTTTTGCACAAAGCGGTGGAGGCCTACCTTGTACGGCTTGCTGAAGCCTGTACCTAAGTCTTGGAAGGTAAAAAATAGTTTTAAATGGGGTCAGTGATAATGTCGTGAAATAGGTTTTTGGGTAATGCTTAGAGTACCAACGCAAATGAATGGAAAGCAATTGCCGCTAAAGGTATGTTACAGCTTTTTATTCTCTTCATCACAAATCCATTCATCCACAATCTTAACTAAGCTTGGGACTAAGATGATAACACAGAGGCAACAGTTTAGAGACACTTTCATCAATTTAGATCCCAAACACTCAGCGTTTTGACACTACTGAGCCGAGCCAAGCTGTACTGCGCTGGCCTCGTTCCGCATGCACCATCGTTGCTGTAACCAGGACAATACCTGGACAATGCCAAAAAGGACAATGTGAAAAGAAAATATCAGAGCCAGCACAGTATGGTTCAGGACTGCATGACAGTGTGAAAAGGGTATAAGAGTTGGCCAGTTCTCCTGCACTGGATGCCCTATCCTGCGGCGAGGGAGAAGCGAACAGTCTTAAAAAGCCAAGCTAAGGAAAAGGTGGATTTGAGTGACAAATGCCATTGTTTGCTATGATGGCCATATCCCGCTGCTCCCCTAAGTCACTTCTTTTTATTTGTCCATTTTGGGGGCCTGCCAGGCTGATCGTGGGAAGATCCATACTGAGTGGGAAGATTAAATACTGTTTAAATGTGGTCCTACTGGAGCTGACTGTAGCCAATGACACCCGACTGGATTACTGTCCGTGTATTGTCTGTCAGAGAGAGAAAAAAATTAAATCTTTGAAATCCACAACTGCTTCAATGGAAACTCTCCATAAAGCTCTTAGGCCTAAGCCACCTTGCTTGTGAGCCACCTACTGTAAAAGTCCCCATCAGCTAGGGATAGCCTACTAATAGTTTCACACTCTATGTAAAAACAAAATGTCTGTCCAATTAGAATGTATTTTTGCCAATTAAAAGATATACAAGATATTAGTTGCTTGTGATTGCAGATTTGTTATTTATTATTAATTTTATTCAACAAAAGCTAATTTAAGTTAGACTATCGAAGCTCTGTTATTTTAGACTTAGGCTAATGGTTTTCAGGCTCAAACTCTGAATTCATCTTGAATCTGGTATAAAACTATGGAGGTATGCTTCATAATATGATGGATTTGGTTGTAGTTGGCAGAAAGATGTTCTTACAAGATGGCTATAACTCTGACTCCATTGGTTCACACTGGCATTCAGAATAGTCATCATAAAGAGTAGCGGGGTTGTGTAACCTTTACTCAGCCTTACTGCATTTCAGACAAGCCCCCTCTGCTTTTCCAGTTGTTTTCTGCCTGTTGTATTATTATCTCTGGTCTGTAAATTATGAAAGAATAGCCAGACTCTGTGCTGTCCCACCCTTCGTCCCCTGGCCCATTTGGTTCTGGCCAGGGGGAGGCCTAATATGCTATTAACTCAGCCTGCTCCTTACTTTTGTCAGTGAAGACACTGGGAGGGGGTTAGCTTAGCTAGCACACTCAACTTTATACCTGCCATATGCTCATCCCTTAGTGGGGTGGTGTACCGCACACATGAACTAAGCTATGCCCATCCAGCTGTGTGTCTTGATATAGAAAATATTGACAGATCCATCTCATTCCATTTTCACCCTATCTGCCCAGGCACTTAAAACCTGCAATCAAATCAAATTGTATTTGTCACATGCTTCGTAAACAAAAGATGTAGACTAACAATGAAATGCAAACTTACGGGCCCTTCCCAACAATGCAGAGAGAGAGAAGATTGAGAAATAATAGAAAAGTAATAACGCGTAATAATAACATTAATAATAAATACAAAATGAGTAACAATAACTTGGCTATATACACGATGTACCAGTACCAAGTCGATGTGCAGGGGTGCGAGATAATTTAGGTAGATATGTACATATAACTATGAATAATGTGACTAGGCAACAGGATGGATAATAAACAGTAGCAGCAGCCTATGTGATGAGTCAAAAAAAATGGTGCAAAAAGGGTCAGTGCAGATAGTCCGGGCAGCTATTTGCTTAAATATTTAACTAACTATTTAGCGGTCTTATGGCTTGGGGGTAGAAGCTGTTCAGGGTCCTTTCGGTTCCAGACATGGTACATCGGTGCCGTGTGGTAGCAGAGAGAATGGTCTTGGGTGGCTGGAGTCAGTGACAATTTTTAGGGCCTTCCTCTGACACCGCCTGGTTTAGAGGTCCTGGATGACAGGTAGCTTGGCGCCAGTGATGTACTGGGCCGTACGCACTATCCTCTGTAGCGCCTTGTGGTCGGATGCCAAACAGTTGCCATAGTCAAGATGCTCTCAATGGTGCAACTTTTTAAGGATCTGAGGGCCCATACCAAATATTTTCAGTCTCCTGAGGGGGAATAGGCGTTGTTGTGCCCTCTTCACGGCTGTCTTGGTGTGTTTGGACCATGATAGTTTGTTAGTGATGTGGACACCAAGGAACTTGAAGCTCTTGACCCGCTTCACTACAGCCCCGTCGATGTGAATGGGGGCGTGCTCGGCCCTCCTTTTCCTGTAGTCCACGATCAGCTCCTTTGTCTTGCTGATGTTGAGGGAGAGGTTGTTGTCCTGGCACCACACTGCCAGGTCTCTGATTTAGGGATGGAACGATTATGGAAGTTTGGCTAACGATAGTCATAATAGTCATTTTTGTAGATTTGTTTTGGGGGGACACCGTCGTGTCGTCAGCAAACTTAATGATGGTGTTGGAGTCGTGCACGGGGTCCTGTATTGACACTTTGCCTGTTTGATGCCTCGTCGGAGGTCCTAGCTGGATTTCTTATAAGCGTCCTGATTAGTGTCCCACTCCTAGAAAGCTCAGTGCGGATGTTGCCTGTAATCCATGTCTTCTGGTTGGGTTATGTACGTACGGTCACTGTGGGGACGACATCGTCGATGCCCATAGAAACGCATTGAATAACCGATGGAAAAACAGATGGTAAAAAAAATGTCTAAAGGAAGTTTGTTTTGAAAATGAGAGATATATGTAAAAAAGACCAGGACATTTTGGGGGACATATTTAACCCCCTTTTTTAGGCACTAAACTACTTCCATATATACACTACATGACCAAAAGTATGTGGACACCTGCTCGTCGAACATGTCATTCCAAAATCATGGGCATTAATATGGAGTTGACATGGACCTGTTCGTGAGAGACTCACGTTTCGATAGAGGGGTCATAATAGGTTGTAGGCCAAACCGTTCGGACACTACAGACGTTTTCGTGAGATACCAATTTTCAGGACATCATGGTCTGACAAACACCGCTGTAGCTCAGCCACCTTTCATCGCAGATGCAAAAGGAAGATATTGGCGTATGCTGTGGATTGTGACGCAGCCCATGCAAAACTGATATCTCTAGCTTAAACAGACGGAAATAGACTCAAGAGTTAATGAAGCCGGTGACTGATGTGGTAAACTCCTCAATGCCATCGGATGAATCCCGGAACATATTCCAGTCTGTGCTAGCGAAACGGACCTGTAGCTTAGCATAGGATAGAGTTATGGTCAGATTTGCTAAATGGAGGGCGAGGGAGAGCTTTGTATGCGTTTCTGTGTGTGGAGTAAAGGTGATCTAGAGTTTTGTCTTCTCTAGTTGCTGGTAGAAATGAGGTAAAACGGAATTTCAGTTTCCCTGCATTAAAATCACTAGCCACTGGATGAGCATTTTCTTGTTTGCTTATGGCCAGATAGAGGTCATTGAGTGCGGTCTGGTTGCCAACATCAGTTTGTGGTGGTAAATAGACTGCTAAGAAAAATATAGATGAAAACTCTCTTGGTAAATAGAACCTTATCATGGGGTACTCTAACTCAGGCGAGCAGAACCTTGAGACTTCCTTAATATTAGAGACACCAGCTGTTCTTAACAAAGAGACACACCTCTCCCCCCTAACATTACCGGATGCTGCCGTACGGTCTTGACGATGCATAAAAAGTAATTGTACGTTTGCCAATAGAACGGAGGGTAGAGGCAGATTATTTATTTGCAGATGTAGTTTCGTCAGGGTGCCCGCAGGGATTAGGGCCTGGTCCGGGGTGAGCAGTATGTCTTGCACCGCCGACTCGTTGAAGTAGAAACCATCCTAATCAAGGTTAGTGATTGATCGCTGTTCTGATGTCCAGAAGCTCTTTTCGGTCAGGACACAAGGGCGGAAACATTATGTACAAAAAAAGCTACAATATGCAATTTTTTGAGCGAGCCGACCAAATTCACATAGAAATGTGAATTATAGATACATTACCAAAAGTATGTGGACACCTGCTCGTCAAACATCTCATTCCAAAATCATGGACATTAATATGGAGTTGGTCCCACCTTTGCTGCTATAACAGCCTCCACACATATGGGTAGGCTTTCCACTAGATGTTGGAACATTGCTGCGGGGACTTGCTTTCATTCAGCCACAAGAGCATTAGTGAGGTCGGGCACTAATGTTGAGCGATTAGGCCTGGCTCGCAGTCGGCGTTCCAATGCATCCCAAAGGTGTTCAATGGGGTTGAGGTCTGGGCTCTGTGCAGGCCACCGATCTCGACAAACCATTTCTGTATGGACATGGCATTGTGGATGGGGCCATTGTCATGCTGAAACTGGAAAGGGCCGTCCCCAAACTGTTGCCACAAAGTTGGAAGCACAGAATAATCTAGATGTATGTAGATTGTATGCTGTAGCGTTAAGATTTCCCTTCACTGGAACTACGGGCCTAGCCCGAACCATGAAAAACAGCCCCAGATCATTATTCCTCCTCAACCAAACTTTACAGTTGGCACTATGCATTGGGGCAGGTAGCATTCTCCTGGCATCCGCCAAACTCAGATTTGTCCGTTGGACTGCCAGATGGTGAAGCTTGAGTCCAATGACGGCGAGCTTTACACCACTCCAGCCGAAGCTTGGCATTGCGCTTGGTGACCTTAGGCTTGTGTGCGGCTGCTCGGCAATGGAAACCCATTTAATGACGCTCCCTATGAACAGTTATTGTGCTGACGTTGCTTCCAGAGGCAGTTTGGAACTCGGTAGTGAGTGTTGTAACCGAGGATAGATGATTTTTACGCGCTACGTGCTTCAGCACTCTGTGGGCCCGTTCTGTAAGCTTGTGTGGCCTACCACTTTGCGGCTGAGATGTTGTTGCTCCTAGACGTTTCCATTTCACAATAACAGCTCTTATAGTTGACCGGGGCAGCTCTAGCAGGGCAGAAATTTGACGAACTGACTTGTTGGAAAGGTGGCATCCTATGACGGTGCCACGTTGAAAGTCACTGAGCTCTTCAGTAAGGCCATTCTACTGCCAATGTTTTTTTTTATGGAGATTGCATGGCTGGGTGCTCTATTTTATACACCTCAGCAACGGGTGTGGCTGAAATAGCGGAATCCACAAATTTGAAGGGGTGTCCACATACTTTTGTAAATGACTAAAAATGTAAATGTATATATCGTTAATGTCATTCTTCATTGAAAGAAAGTCAAAGAAGCAATAGATCTGTTCTATGTGTTCTCGTTTAGTTTTTGTGTCTTTTACTTTTGGTTTTGTACACCAGCTTCAAACAGCGATTTCTTCATATTGCACCTTTAAGATCAGCGCCAGAAAACACACAAAATAGTAGAATTGGTCTGCAGCCTGTAAAATGGTAGCTATCCATTGCAGCGCCATTCAGGCTCTTTGGCATGGGTCCAGACAGTAATTTTTCTTCTTTATTACATTTTGTATTAAAAGATTCTTAAGGAAATAAGTTACCTCTACTAATATATTTTTCTCTCTTCTCCTCTGCATCTCCCTCTGGCTCTGGTCCTCTTCCCGGCTGGCTCTTGCCGCCTCCCCTCATAGTAGGTAACCCGCTGGGCGCCATGGTACATCAAAGGTAAGCCTGTAGCCAGCACCAATTTACCCGCTGTATTGACAGACAGTAAATACGTATTGATTGAGCAATCTGTGGGATGACTCCCTCTCCTCCACTTCATTTTAGCTCACTATCCAATCCAAAGACACAACACTGGATCCCCAGCGGGATAGCGCTGAAGTACTTAGACCAGATAATGATTTGTGGACAGCATCACCGTTTTCTTTGCAAATATAGCGAAGTGTGAAGTATTATGTGTATAGGTAACTGACAAAATAATAGGCCGTTGGGCCACCATGAGCCAGAACAGTTTCAATGCCCCTTGACATAGATTCTGCAACTCTATTGGAGGGATGCGACACAAATCCTCCACAAGAAATTCCATCATTTGGTGTTTTGTTGATGCTGGTGGAAGACGCTGTCCCAGGCGCCGCTCCAGAATCTCCCATAAGTGGTCAATTGGGTTGAGTTCTGGTGACTGAGACGGCTTACATCGTTTTCATGCTCATCAAACCATTCAGTGACCATTCGTGCCCTGTGGATGGGGGCATTGTCATCTTATGGGAGAATAGCTATTGTTGCCAAAATAATTTCAAAAATACTGGGATGGGATGTTAATTGCTTAATTAACTCAGTAACCACACCTGGCTAGAAGCATCTGCTTTCAATATACTTTGCATCCCTCATTTACTCAAGCGTTTAAATTATTTTGTACGTTACCTGTAGTTCATATGTTCTATCACAGTGATGGAACAGCAGATAAGTGTTAGACATAGCCCTGTAGTGTAGGTGCACAACGTAATAATTTGTTGACTCACCTGCTGTATCCGTCTACCCACCAGCCCCTGTGCTACTATCCACAAACATATATTACATTTTCCTTTTTTAATGTGTACAAAACATTAAGAACACCTTAGTAATATTGAGTTGCACCCCCCCCCCCCTTTTGCCCTCAGAACAGCCTCAATTCGTCAGGGCATGGACTCTACAAGGTGTCGAAAGTATTCCACAGGGATGCTGACCGATGTTGACTACAATGCTTCCCACAATTGTGTCAAGTTGGCTGGATGTCCTTTGGGTGGTGGACCATTCTTGATACGCTTGGGAAACTGTTGAGCGTGAAAAACCCAGCAGCGTTGCAGTTCTTGACACAAACCGGTGCGCCTGCCACCTACTACCATACCCCGTTCAAAGGCACTTAAATATTGTCTTGCCCATTCACCCTCTAAATGGCAGACATACACAATCCATGTCTCAATTGTCTCTAGGCTTAAAAATATTTCTTTAACCTGTCTCCTCCCCTTCATCTACACTGATTGAAGTGGGTTTAACAAGTGACAGTGGTCACTGACCTGGTCAGTATATGTCATGGAAAGAGCAGGTGTTCTTAATGTTTTGTACACTCAGTGTATAACTTGTCTCTTTTCACCCCACCGTCTTGTAATTTAGGGCTGTTATGACAGAAGACTTTAAAGTGCCTGATAGAATGGTTGGATTCAGTAAGTACATGTTATGGGAGGTACACTATGTGGTTTGGGATGTTTTCATCCTTGGGTGCTTGATTTTGAGTTATGTTAAAGGATGTATTTATTTTGTCAAAATGACACATTACCTGAACTATTTTCTCCACTCCCATCACACTCTCCACTCTTCCTTCTCCCGCTTATTTTAGTCATAGGCAGAGGAGGTGAACAAGTTACGAGAATCCAGATGGAGTCCGGGTGCAAGATTCAAATTGACTCTGGTAAGCAGTTCTAAATATGCAAATCAAATTCTATTGGTCACATACACATATTTAGCAGATGTTATTGCGGGTGTAGTGAAATGCTTGTGTTCCTAGCTCCAACAGTGCAGTAGTATCTAACAATTCACAACAATACACACATCTAAAGTAAAATAATGGAATTAAGAAATCATTTATATAAATATTAGGACGAGCAATGTCGGAGTAGCATTGACTAAAATACTGTAAAATAGAATACAGTATATACATATGAAATGAGTAAAGCAGTGTGTTCCATTATTAAAGTGGCCAGTGATACTTCGGAAAGTATTCAGACGCCTTGACTTTTTCCACATTTTGTTACGTTACAGCCTTATTCTAAAATTGATTAAATCGTTTTTTCCCCTCTTCAATCTACACACAATACCCCATAATGACAAAGCAAAAACAGGTTTTTAGAAATGTTTGCTAATTATTATTATTTTTTAAACCCGGAAATATGACATTTACGTAAGTATTCAGACCCTTTACTCAGTCCTTTGTTGATGCACCTTTGGCAGCGATTACAGCCTCGGGTGTTCTTGGGTATGACGCTACAAGCTTGGCACACCTGTATTTGGGGAGTTTCTCCCATTCTTCACTGCAGACCCTCTCAAGCTCTGTCAGGTTGGATGGGGAGCGTTGCTGCACAGCTATTTTCAGGTCTCTCCAGAGATGTTTGATCAGGTTCCAAGTCCGGGCTCTGGCTGTGCCACTCAAGTACATTCAGAGTCTTGACCCGAAGCCACTCCTGCGTTGTCTTGGCTGTGTGCTTAGAGTCGTTGTCCTGTTGGAAGGTGAACCTTCGCCCCAGTCTGAGGTCCTGAGCACTCTGGAGCAGGTTTTCATCAAGGATCTCTCTGTACTAGGTTTTCATCAAGGATCTCTCTGTACTTTGCTCCGTTCGTCTTTGCCTCGATCCTGACTAGTCTCCCAGTCCCTGCCGCTGAAATACATCCCCACAGCATGATGCTGCCACCACCATGCTTCATCGTAGGGATGGTGCCAGGATTCCTCCAAAGTGACGCTTGGCATTCAGGCCAATTAATTCAAAATTGGTTTCATCAGACCAGAGAATCTTGTTTCTCATGGTCTGAGAGTCTTTAGGTGCCTTTTGGCAAACTCCAAGCAGGCTGTCATGTGCCTTTTACTGAGGAGTGGCCTCCGTCTGGCAACTCTACCATAAAGGCCTGATTGGTGGAGTGCTGCAGAGATGGTTGTCCTTCTGGAAGGTTCTCCCATCTCCACAGAGGAACTCTAGAGCTCTGTCAGAGTGACCATCAGGTTCTTGGTCACCTCCCTGACCAAGGCCCTTTTCCCCCGATTGCTCAGTTTGGCCGGGTGGCCAGCTCTAGGAAGAGTCTTGGCGGTTCCAAACATCTTCCATTTAAGAATGATGGAGGCCACTGTGTTCTTGGGGACCTTCAATGCTGCAGAAATGTTTTGGTACCCTTCCCGAGATCTGTGCCTCGACACAATCCTGTCTCGGAGCTCTACGGACAATTCCTTCAACCTCATGGCTTGGTTTTTGCTCTGACATCCACTGTCAACTGTGGGGCCTTATATAGACAGATGTGTGCCTTTCCAAATCATGTCCAATCAATTGAATTTACCACGTGGACTCCAATCAAGTTGTTGAAACATCTCAAGGATGATTAATGGAAACAGGATGCACCTGAGCTCAATTTCTAGTCTCATAGCAAAGGGTCTGAATACTTATGTAAATAAGGTATTTCTGTATTAAGTTTCTCATAAATTTGCAAAATAATCTAAAAACCTCTTTTTGTTTTGTCATTATGGGGTGTTGTGTGTAGATTGCTGAGGATTTATTTATTTAATCCGTTTTAGAATAAGGCTCTAACGTAACAAAATGTGGAAAAAGTCAAAGGGTCTGAATACTTTCCGAAGGCAGCAGCCTCTAAGGCAGGGGTGTCAAACTCATTTTAGCTCAGGGGCCACATGGAGGAAAATCGATTCCCAAGTGGGCCGGACCGGAAAAATCATGGTATATATAACTTAAAAACAACAACTTCAGATTGTTTTCTTTGTTTTAATACGATCAACATACAACATAAAGCTGGAGCCTGAGGACAGTGTGTCCAAAATAGTACAAGCACAACATCACTATTAATCATAAAACATGTCAAGTTTATTTGAAAATTCTAAAGAAAAAGAACACACAAACACACAATGCCTCAGTGATTAACAGAACTGTTTCACAGATCACAGAACTATATCAGGGTGTCATTTCTCAGGCGGAAATGTAGATAAAAATAATGAAATCCTGTTCCCCAAACAAGTGCAAGAACCACAGAGTCAAGAATAGGTTAAATATACAAATAAAATAAAATCAATTAAAAACAATAGCACATCAACATAAAAACATATAAACATAAAGCTGGAGCCTGAGGACAGTGTCCAAAAGCACAACATCACTATTAATCATAAAACACCTCAAGTTATTTGAAAGTTCTGAGGACAAAGAACACACAAACACACAATGCCTCAGTAATTAACAGAACTGTTTCACAGATCACAGAACTATATCAGGGTGTCATTTCTCAGGCAGAAATGTAGATAAAAATAATGAAATCCTGTTCCCCAAACAAGTGCAAGAACCACAGAGTCAAGAATAGGTTAAATATACAAATAAAATAAAATCAATTAAAAACAATAGCACATCAACATAAAAACATATGAACATAAATCTGAAAGCGTTGCTCAAACTCCCGTAACAGTCCCGTTATTTTATCTTTGAACCGCTTCATGTCTGCCACATGTTGGGTCGCGCACACATTTTTCAGACAGGGGAAGTGAGCTGCATCACCACCGGCAAGTTGCATCTCCCACAATGACAGCTTCAACTTGAAAGAACGTATGCTGTCATAATACTGCGTGACAACTTTGTTGCGCCCTTGCAGCTGTTTGTTCAAGTTATTCAGGTGCTCTGTAACATCCACCATAAATGCAAGGTCCGGCATCCATTCTGCGGAATGAAATTCTAACACTGGTTTGCCCTTTTCTTCCATGAACTGTTAAATTTCTTCTCGTAAATCAAAGAAACGCCTCAGCACAGCACCTCGGCTTAACCATCTTACCTCAGTGTGGTATGGCAGGCCATAGATGTGGTCTTTCTCTCTGAGAAGGCTGTCAAACTGACGGTGATTCAGGCTTCTGGATCGGATGAAATTAACAGTTTGGATGACCACCTTCATGACGTTATCCATCTTTAATGACTTGCAACACAAAGCCTCCTGGTGCAAAATACAGTGAAAAGTCAAAAAATCACGTCCTCCATTTGCAGATTGCACTTTCTCTCTAAACTTTGTCACAACGCCTGCTTTTTTCCCGATCATTGAGGGCGCACCATCTGTAGCCAGGCTGACAGCGCGGGACCAGTCCACTCCGACCCTGTCCAGCGCGCCGACGAGTGCGGTAAAAATATCAGCTGCTGTCGTTGTATCTGTCATCGGCACCAACTCCACGAACTCCTCGGTGACGGTCAATGTGTCATCAACTCCGCGGATGAAAAAATGGCCAGTTGTGCAACATCTGTAATGTCCGTGCTTTCATCAATTGCAACCGAAAACGCAATAAATGACTTTACTTTTTGCTTCAACTGGCTGTCCAAATCCACTGAAAGATCGGAAATCCTGTCTGCAACTGTGTTTCTTGTCAGGCTGATATTTGCAAAAGCCTGCCGCTTTTCAGGGCACACAATCTCCGCTGCCTTCATCATGCATGTTTTTACAAATTCACCCTCACTAAATGGTTTTGAAGCCACTGCGATTTCATTAGCAATGAGGTAGCTAGCTTTCACTGCAGCGTCACTGATGTCTCGGCTGTGAGTAAACACAGACTGCTGTTTCTTCAGACCCGCCAACAGTTCATTCACCTTCTCTCATCTCCGCTGTCCTTGAAAGTTGTCATATTTGTCGGCATGAAGACTCACATAGTGGCGACGAAGGTTATATTCTTTCAGCACTGCAACATGCTCTGAACACACCAAACATACAGCTTTCCCATTCAATTCCGTGATTAAATAGGATGACCATTTTTCTTGGAACACTCTGCACTCTGCGTCCACTTTTCTCTTTTTTGACAGAGACATATTGGGGCAATGAGGGTGCCAAAGCACATAATGTTAAAAGTAGAAGCCGTAATAAATATTGCGGGCAAAACAAAGTAGCTCATTGGCTGCACGTGCTTGACCTACTTGCTCTGCCCTGGTATAAACAGTTTGCTTTCTTAACACAATTGCTATTGCGCCATCCAGTGGACGCAATTGGAACAGCAGTTTATTTTATTGAAAAATTGCAGCGCATTTTTATACTTTACAATAAAAAAATAAAAAAAATAATCATCTTGCGGGCCGGATTAAACCCGTTTGCGAGCCTGATCCGGCCCGCGGGCCGTACGTTTGACACCCCTGCTCTAAGGTATAGAGTTGAGTAACCGAGTGGTAGCCAGCTAGTGATGGCTATTTAACAGTCTGATGGCCTTGAGATAGAAGCTGTTTTTCAGTCTCTCAGTCCCAGCTTTGATTCACCTGTACTGACCTCGCCTTCTGGATGGCTGTGGGTCGGGTGGTTGATGTCCTTGATGATCTTTTTGGCCTTCCTGTAACATCTGGTGCTGTAGGTGTCCTGGAGGGCAGGCAGACCGCACCACCCTCTGGAGAGCCCTGCGGTTGTGGATGGCGGTGATATAGCCCAACAGGATGCGCTCAATTGAGCGACAGGATGCGCTCAAAGGTTTTTGAGCGTCTTAGGGGCCAAGCCGACTTTCTTCACCACACTGTCTGTGTGGGTGGACCATTTCAGATTGTCAGTGATGTGTACGCTGAGGAACTTGAAGCTTTTTACCTTCTCCACTGCGGTTGTGTCGTCTGCAAACTTGATGATTGAGTTGGAGGCGTGCGTTGCCACGCGATCATGGGTGAACAGGGAGTACAGGAGGGGGCTGAGCACGCACCCATTGAGGGGCCCCTGTGTTGAGGATCAGCGAAGTGGAGGTGTTGTTTCCTACCTTCATCACCTGGGGGGTGGCCCGTCAGGAAGTCCAGGACCCAGTTGCACAGGGCGGGGTTCAGACCCAGGGCCCCAAGCTTAATGATGAGCTTGGAGGGTACTATGGTGTTGAATGCTGAGCTATAGTCAATGGGGATAGGGCAGTGTGCGATGGCATTGTCTGTGGCTCTATTGGGGCGGTATGCAAATTGAAGTGGGTCTTGGGTGTCAGGTAAGGTAGAGGGGATATGGTCCTTAACTAGCCTCTCAAAGCACTTCATGATGACAGAAGTGAGTGCTACGGGGCGATAGTCATTGAGTTCATTTACCTTTGCTTTCTGGGGTACAGGAAAAATGGCACACATCTTGAAGCAAGTGGGGACAGCAGACTGGGATAGGGAGAGATTGAATATATCAGTAAACACTCCAGCCAGCTGGTCTGCGTATGTTCTGAGGACTTGGCTTTCGATGCCGTCTGGGCTGGCAGCCTTGCGAGGGTTAACACGCTTAAATATCTTACTCACGTCGGCTACGGAGAACGAGAGGCCACAGTCCTTGGGAGCGGGCCGCGTCCATGGCACTGTTTTCCGCAATGCTGGCGAAGAAGGTGTTTAGCTTGTCCGGGAGCAAGACGTCGGTGTCTGCAACGTGGCTGGTTTTCCCTTTGTAATCCGTGATTGTCTGTAGACTCTGCCACATACGTCTTGTGTCTGAGCCGTTGAATTGCGACTCCACTTTGTCTCTGTAATGACGTTTTACCTGTTTGATTGCCTTATGGAGGGAATAACTACACTGTTTGTGTTCGACAATATTCCCAGTCACCTGCCATGGTTAAATGCGGTGGTTCGTGCTTTCAGTTTTGCACGAATGCTGCCGTCTTTCCACGGTTTCTAGTTTGGGTAGGTTTTAATAGTCACAGTGGGAACAACATCGCCTATACACTTCCTGATGAACTCAATCACTGTGTCCATGTTTACGTCAATGTTAGTCTCAGAGGCTAACCGGAACATATCCCAGTCCGCGTGATCAAAACATTCTTCAAGCATGAATTCCGATTTGTCAGACCAGCGTTGAATAGACCTTAGCACAGGTACCTCTTGTTTGAGCTTCTGCCTATAGGAAGGGAGGAGCAAAATGTAGTCGTGATCTGATTTATTGAAGGGAGAGGGGGAGGGCCTTGTTGGCATCCCGGAAGGGGGAGTAGCAGTGATTGAACGTTTTAGCAGCGCGAGTACTACAGTCAATGTGTTGATAGAACTTTGGTAGCGTTTTCCTCTAATTTGCTTTGTTAAAATCCCCAGCTACAATAAATGCGGCCTCAGGATATGTGGTTTCCAGTTTGCCAAAAATCCTGTGTAGCTCCTTGAGGGCCGTCGTGGTATCGGCTTGAGAGGGAATATACACAGCTGTGACTATAACCGAAGAGAATTCTCTTGGGAGGTAATACGGTCGCCATTTGATTGTGAGGTATTCTAGTCGGGTTAACAAAAGGACTTGAGTTTCTGTATGTTATCACAATCACATCATGAATAGTTAATCATGAAACATGCACCACCGCCTTTCTTCTTCCCGGAGAGTATTCCTGTCTGCGCGATGTACTGAGAATCCAGCTGGCTGTATGGACGGGGACAGTATATCCTGAGAGAGCCATGATTCCGTGAAACAGAGTATGTTACAGTCCCTGATGTCACTCTGGAAGGAGATCCTCGCCCTGAGCTCGTCTACTTTATTGTCCAGAGACTGAACATTAGCGAGTAATATACTCGGAAGTGGTGGATGGTGTGCACGCCTCCTGAGTCAGACTAGAAGTCCACTCTGAATACCTCTTCTCCGCTGGCAGAGTGTTGGAGCAGCCTCTGGGATAAGGATCCAATTAGGGAAAGTCGTATTCCTGGTCGTAATGCTGGTGAGTTAACGCCGCTCTGATATCCAAAAGTTATTTCCGGCTGTATGTAGTAACACGAAAAACGTTCTGGGCTAATAATGTAAGAAATAACACACAAAAAACAAAATACTGCAAAGTTGCTTAGGAGCTAGATGCAGAGCTGCCATGTTTGTCGGCGCAATCACACAGCACGTCCCTTAATGTCTGTGACTACACACACTTCCCAACCCTTCCTGTCCTTATCATGTTAAATAATAACCAATATCAGATTGCTTTTAATTTTATATCTCAGCAACATACAGTAGGAGAGTTGTCTGCTAGCTAGGGCTGTCAGCAATGAGGTGATGCTGCAAAATGCATTATCATTACAGTTTTTGTTCTGTACTGAAAGGGTTCTATCTTGACAACTTGACTCCTTTAACTGCATGCCAGCGGTTCTTTCTCATTGTAGAGAGTGGCAGTGTGATGGACAGAGCCTGCTCCCTTACTGGAACCCCAGAGAGCATTGAGTGAGTTCCTATATTGAGACGTTGAATGTGACAGAAATTCTATATACTCAGTAGCAGTAAAGTATCGTCGACAATCCTTTGTCATTTTGAAAATAATAATATGTTTCCGTCTTGAGTGGACCCTATTGCATTTGATGGCCCAACATAGTCCTCAATAAGGATAGTCCCCTTATTGATGGTCTATAGATGCTCACACACAGTATTAACTGCAACACATTTATTTAACTGTTACTCCACAATATTACAGTAATTGACAATACATAATACATTTTAAAAACCACATTGTGGACCAATCATAAAGTTTTGAGACACTGTAGGCAGTCATAGTAGGCAATCATAGTACAGTATGTAATTGGTATTGGCTATAATACATCACATCATCTATACATCATTGATATGCAACTGTTTGCTTTCCACCAGGCAGGCCAAGAGAATGCTTGGGCAGATAGTGGACCGCTATCGAAACGGCCCTGGGTTCCACAGCGAGGCTGAGGACAACAGCTCAGTCCAGGAGATGCTCATCCCAGCCAGCAAAGTGGGCCTGGTCATCGGGAGGGGAGGGGACACCATCAAGCAACTGCAGGTATGCCGCCTTAGAGAAAAAAATCATATTTAATCAGATCTCTGTGGCTATAGTACCCCCTCTAGCTATACTATACTAAACTATGATCCACAACTAGCCCTATTACTACCATTACTGGTACTAGGTCTACAAAGCTTCTTTTTTTTTTTACCCCACTACAACTTATTTCACAACCATAAATAGCATGTCCTTTAAAAAAGTCTCTAACCTCCCGTCTTTTCCCACCCTCCCTATCTCTAAGAGGCACTTAGACCCATCCATCCATCGACTTACTCATCATTCTCATTCATTCCCACACAACATATACCCTATGCATCCAAACACCCATTCTCTCCCACCCTCCTACACATATTCATATTCACCCTCCCTTACTCTTCCCTCATACTCCCATTCATATACACAAACACACCCATGCACATCCATAGAACAGTTATAAGATAAGATATACTTTATTAGTGCATACAGGAGGGCAATTTGCCTTCTGCTTTTTATCCAACCCCCCAGATATACACACACATCCACACAAACACACATTAGGTTGGAGAGGCTGGAGCAGAGGGCAGCCGAAGTGCAGCGGCAGATGAGCAGATTAGGGGGTTATGTTCCTTGCTCAAGGGAACATTGGCGGTAGATGGCACCTGGGACATTGATGCCTGCAACCCTCCGGTTGCCGACTCACTCCCGCAAGATTTTACCCTCTCTTCAGCAGTGGGATTCGAACCTGCAACCCTCGGGTTGCTGGCTTGTTTTTTTAACCTTGAGGCGACCACCGCCCCACCGCTACTGCTATCGTTACTTCATAGAGGAGAATATTTTACTTGGGGAAAGTAGCGTATAGATTGTATTGTGGGGAGGGGGAAAGGATATTGTCTCCATTTACGATGAGCTGGTCTTAGGCATCACTGTATGTAGCCTAGTGCGCTCATCGCTTTTTCCTACTTCGTCCTCTTCACAGAGCAGGGGGCTCTCCTCCTTCAACTGGAAAGGTTTATTGTAGCTTGATTAGGGCTTCATCTGCGCTTGTGAATTCCATCCTTTTCGTTCCCTTCCATACCCACAGAAAGCTTGGGTGGGTAAGGTTGGGCAAGGGTGGGAGGTAGGGACAGGCTTAGCTTGGGTGGGCAAGGTTGGGACAAGCTTTGCTTGGGTGGGGTAAAGGGGGCAGGAGAACTGGGAGGGGGAGGTGGAGAGGGATACTTTTGGCTTGGGAGAGAGGGAAGGACGGATTTAGATATACTACAATGTAATTTTCTTTATTTTTGTGATTTGCAAACCTGCAGTAAAATGAGTAAGCGTTCTGGGCAGATTAGGAGAGGCTGTCGAGTTATTATAGCTAAGATCCAATGGTGGTTATTGGTGAGAGTGGAGATGGGATTGGGACGGGGGGGCTGGGAGGGCATCAGACACTTCACTGAAGTAGGTGTGATGCTTCCACTCATCTCACTTCGGTCTCTCTGTGGACCCACTCTCTCCAAGTAGAGTCCCACCAGCCACTACACTTTAATTTAATTCACAAGGTATTACAAACTGACCACAGTACTTAAGTTGCAGTCTCTCTCCAATGTATTTATAATGACATTATCCACAGACTTTTGGTACATTAGGAGAGGAGTTGGAGCTTTAAAAGCCCTAAAAAGACACAGCGCCTCAAAGTACAAAGAAGTACTTTGCTTTATGTTTTTTGTGTGTTCTCTGTTAAATGTCTGCTCTGTCTACATGTTCACACGTTATATATATATACAGTACCAGTCAAAAGTTTGGACACACCTACTCATTAAAGGGTTTTTCTTTATTTTTACTATTTTCTACATTACAGAATAATAGTGAAGACATCAGACTATGAAATAACACATATGGAATCATGTAGTAACCAAAAAAGTGTTAAACAAATCAAAATACATGTTATATTTGAGATTCTTCAAATAGCCACCCTTTGCCTTGATGACAGCTTTGCACACTCTTGGCATTCTCTCAACCAGCTTCACCTGGAATGCTTTTAAACAAGTCTTGGAGTTCCCACATATGCTGACCACTTGTTGGCTGCTTTTCCTTCACTCTGCGGTCCGACTCATCCCAAACCATCTGAATTGGGTTGAGGTCGGGGGATTGTGGAGGCCAGGTCATCTGATGCAGCACTCCATCACTCTCCTTCTTGGTAAAATAGCCCTTACACAGCCTGGAGGTGTGTTGGGTCATTATCCTGTTGAAAAACAAATGATAGCCCCACTAAACCCAAACCAGATGGGATGGCGTATCGCTACAGAATACTGTGGTAGCCATGCTGGTTAAGTGTGCCTTGAATTCTAAATGAATCCCAGACAGTGTCACCAGCAAAGCACCATCACACCTCCTCCACCATGCTTCACGATGTGAACCACACATGCGGAGATCATCCGTTCACCTACTCTGCGTCTCACAAAGACACGGCGGTTGGAACCAAAAATCTCACATTTGGACTCATCAGACCAAAGGATAGATTTCCACCGGTCTAATGTCCATTGCTCATGTTTCTTGGCCCAAGCAAGTCTCTTCTTCTTATTGGTGTCCTTTAGTAGTGGTTTCTTTGCAGCAATTTGACCATGAAGGCCTGATTCACGCAGTCTCCTCTGAACAGTTGATGTTGAGATGTGTCTGTTATTTGGGCTGCAATTTCTAATGAACTTATCCTCTGCAGCAGAGGTAACTCTGGGTCTTCCATTCCTGTGGCGGTCCTCATGAGAGCCAGTTTCAACATAGCGCTTGATGGTTTTTGCGACTGCACATGAAGAAACATTCAAAGTTCTTGACATTTTCCGTATTGACTGAACTTCATGTCTTAAAGTAATGATGGACTGTCGTTTCTTTTTGCTTATCTGAGCTGTTCTTGCCATAATATGAACTTGGTCTTTTACCAAATAGGGTTGTCTTCTGTATACCACCCCTACCTTGTCACAACACAACTGATTGGCTCAAATGCATTAAGAAGGAAAGAAATTTAACAAGGCTGTTAATTGAAGTGCATTCCAGGTATAATGTGTTTTTATTTGTTTAACACTTTTTTGGTTACTACATGATTCCATATGTGTTATTTCGTAGTTTTGATGTGTTCAGTATTATTCTACAATGTAGAAAATAGTAAAAATAAAGAAAAACCCTTTTGATTTAGAATGGACCATAATCATGCACCTGTCTCGGAACAGGGGCAGGGGAAAAAATACATGTCATCGATGCACTTAAATAGCGAATGGAGGACACTTTACCTGTGGTTCATTTTCATGCCAGCCAGGTAGGCTATACTCCTGTTGTAAAGATAAGCAATGTGCTTAATATTAGGAAAGTTGAGAAATAAATATAGTAGGCCTAGCCTATAGAAAGCTGATGGGATCCTCCTCTTATTAAGAGGCCATCACTCTGTTTTCTCTCGCAATTGGATAGCCTATAGAAATATTGCGCAACATGACCTCATGGGCTCTCATGAAGTGTTTGATTAGATTTTCGATTACATTTGCATTGATGTCAGAGTGATTAGAGGGACAATAGAGTGCTAAGTTCCAGGCAGTTAGCAAGTTTGGTAGGCTTCTAATGACCATCAGCAGCATCAGAGCTTGGAGAAGGCTAATTACCGTGACTAAGCGGTCACATGGAATTTACATTTACATTTACATTTTAGTCATTTAGCAGACGCTCTTATCCAGAGCGACTTAGTTATATATATATAACTATTTTTTTTTCATACTGTCCCCCATGGGAATCGAACCCACAACCCTGGCGTTGCAAATGCCATGCTCTATCAACTGAGCTACATCCCTGCCAGCCATTCCCTCCCCTACCCTGGACGACGCTGGCCCAATTGTGCGCCGCCCATGCGTCTCCCGGTCACGGCCGGCTGCGACAGAGACTGCCTTCTTGACTTGTGACCGCTGGTGTGGCGGTAATATGGTCACCGCAACAGCCCTAGCTACAAACTACGCTGAACAAAAATATAAAAGCAACATGCAACATTTTCAAAAATGTTACAGTTCATATATGGAAATCAGTCAATTGAAATACATTTAATAATTCCTAATCGATGGATTTCACATGACTGGGAATACAGATATGCATCTGTTGGTCACAGATAACTTACAAAAAAAAGGTAGGGGCGTGGATCAGAAAACAAGTCATTATCTGGTGTGACCACCATTTGCCTCATGCAGCGCGACACATCTCCTACGCGTAGAGTTGATTGTGGCCTTTGGAGTGTTGTCCCACTCCTCTTCAATGACTGCGAAGTGGCTGGATAGTGGCGGGAACTGGAACACGCTGTCGTACACGTCAATCCAGAGCATCCCAAACAAGGTCAATGGGTGACATGTCTTGTGAGTATGCAGGCCATGGAAAAACTGGGACTTGTTTACAGATCCTTGCGACATGGGGCCATGCATTATCATGCTGAAACATGAGGGGATGGCGGCGGATGTATGACACTACAATGGGCCTCAGGATCTCGTCACGGCATCTCTGTGCATTCAATAAATTGCAATTGTGTTCGTTGTCTGTAGCTTATGCCTGGTCATACCATAACCCCACCGCCACCATGGGGCACTCTGTTCACAAAGTTGACATCATGCCACGCTATACACGCTGTCTGCCATCTACCCAAAACCGGGATTAATCTGTGAAGAGCACACTTTTCCAGCGTGCCATCGAAGGTGAGCATTTGCCCACTGAAGTCTGTTACGATGCCGAACTGCAACTGCTGGCGTGGTTACATGTGGTTTGCGGTTGTACGTTCTGCCAAATTCTCTAAAACAATGTTGGAGGTGGCTTATGGTAGAGAAATGAACATACAATTCTTTGGCAACAGTTCTGGTGGACATTCCTGCAGTCAGCATGCCAATTGCATGCGCTCTCAACTTGAGACATCTGTGGCATTGTGTTGTGTGACAAAACTGCACATTTTAGAGTGGCCTTTTATTGTCCCCAGAACAAGGTGCAGCTGTGTAATGATCTTGCTGTTTAATCAGCTTCTTGATATGCCT